AACGATATATTATATTAATAAGTAGGTTATAAACTACTCAGAGACGTATTTATGGAGAAAGAGATGCTTGAGCCCCGGGTAGCAAACGTAAAAAAACAAAAATTCCAAAACGAAACAATAACAATAACAATTAAATTATTATTGTCGTTATCATAAAAAACGCGCATTGATAATACCAGGGTACAGAAAAGTATTTTTATTCATTCACTTTGACTGTAGGGTTGAGTCACCTATGGCCAGTATTCTTGTCATCAGGGGCGAATAGGCCCACCGGGACACCAACATTTTTCTGGTGGCCGCTACTTATATTAACGAAAATGGGCCGATGAAAAATACTGCTATTGGTTATTGTATACACATTTTAATTCATGTTAACGCGAATATTCAAAGTTAATAAAAAAAAATTCAATAATGCTTTATTCTATAGTTAAATCTAGTTTAAATCATATTAAATTATCATTTGAATTCCTAGATCACTTTATTCATAAGCAGCATCACGCGGTGGCGTTATTAACTGACCGTCATCTTTGGACTTGAATACTATTTTTTGAGTTTGACTCATAGCTGATGTCATCAACTAATATATTTATTAAATTAATACCTACACGTTTATCTTAAGTACGCAGTTATCGAACACATATATTACAGTGAAATATTTCGTTCGACTTGTCACTATACATTCTGTTTTTGGCTTTCCGTTGTCACTTAGCATATATATTTATATATATAAATAATATTACGTACAAATCTATTTGGATTAAAATTCTGGAGTTTAGGTAATTATATTTTTTCATATTATGATTTACAGTTCACACCTATTTAAATAACTATAACTTTTATTATTATTTATAATTTATAATTAATGAATACATAGTCAAAATGTACAAATACTTTACAGTCACATACATTTCCCTTCCCCCGCAATTTTTAAATATGACCTTTTTCTTGGCTTAATCGTTAGTAGGTATCCCATATGTATTGGATAGGTAGTAGAACAAAAATCATCGTTAGCAGATAATTGGTTATTTTTAAAACTAAAATATGCAAAACAATTTTTCTCGGTGAACTCAGTGTTGAATGAATCGCTTCATTTATTTACTTTAATAAAACTATATAATATATACAGAATTGTTGTAGAAACGAATTATTTTAACTCTACAATTATTTTGTTATTAAACCTATTTTATTTATAATATTATTATATATTAAATTTTAATTTAGTGGTCTATGTATTTTGTTTATAATTATTAATCATTTAGGTAATTCTTATGGTTTTAAATCTAATGATGAGTGAGTAATGAGTAAAGTAGATTTGATTCAGCAAATTCTAAACTATTGAAAAGTCATGCAACCTCATAGTTTTTCAGATTTTTTCAATATTTTTTAGTTATTTTAGTGGTTAGTCTTATTGGTGATAATAATAATTTTATTCTACTATACTATACTAACGGTATATTAACGATTAGGTCGAAAAATGAAAACGGCTAACAGTACCAATGGACTGATCCAGAATAATATAACGGCGAGAGGGTCAATTTTGAAATTGCATATAAAGCACGCATTTATGACGAGCTCAAAGATGAATCAAGCTAGAAGTATAATGCAGCTGAGAGTATATTTGGGAGTAAACAGGGAGGGGGTTAGGTTAGATTAGGCCCTTGACTGTACCTACTCAGTACCTATGATTTTATAAAAATATATGATTTATTAAAAATTAAATCTAATCATTAAATCGTATTCCCGTATTATATACAGTGTAGTGGTAGTATATAAGTCTACGAATGTTTTTTTGCAACATTACAATAATAAAATAAAATTGAAAATAGTAAAACCATTATTTTCATAAACTTTCCCGATTTTTTTCAGTTTTGATCAATTACTAAAAATAACAAGGAAATTCAAAAAAACGACTTAGACTTTTCAGGATAATGGGGACGGGTGCAGACACTATTATAGATAATTTAATATATACCTATAAGTAACAATAAAACATTGCTTAAGAAAAAACGATTCTGAGCGGAATTCAGTTGATAGTGATACTTTGTCAACAATATATATATATATATATATATATGTTATTTTATAGTACAATAATTAAATAGGCTTTATATATTTTTTTTTATAATATTTGTTTAATGTTGTACCGATTTTTCCAGTTTTCCTACGTTTTCTCCGGTTTTTCACATTAATTGGGAAAACTCTTAGGAAAATCGAAAAATAAATTCCCTACACCGATTTACTTTCAGAAAAGGTGTTATACATACAAATCGGAGCAAGATCTTTGGTAAAATGTCGTTCACAGAAAGAAAAACATCTTTGTAAAACTATAAGCTTCTTCGCTCCACTGAGGTTCTAAAATTTAAAATAATTGAATCGCATGCCTTAAATTTGTTCGTTTTTCATATTTCGTCTGTTGCCGGTTTTCCTAATTATTTCGAAAACTGTTTGGAAAATTAAAAAACGACTTTCTTTGTGAGCAACTAGATCTGAAATTCAAAAAAAAAAGCTCTCTTGTCGTTTTTTTATTGTAGTAATATTTCTGGTATAAAACATAGTTTGCAAATATCGGTAACTTTGTGACATGTCCTAAATATGTGTCAATTTCTGATATTAATAATTTTTTTACGTGTTTTTCTCAACTAGTATGAAAACCCTTTGGAAAATCCAAAAATAACTTTCCTGAAGCACGAACTAGACAAAATTTTCTTTCAGAAAAAATGCTACACTTGATATATCGAAGCAAGATTTCTGGTAGAAAAATTGCTTTCAGGCATAAAAAAAAAAACATAAAGTAAAACCAATGGATCCCTTGCTACGCTCCGAATCTAAAACAATAGTAGATTGAAAGATCAAACATAATTAAACGAATAAGTAATTTGTTGTCATTTCATGATCATTTGTATTATTGATAAGATTGTTTTATTATTACTACTACACCACCTTGAAATCATTAAACTTCAAAGTCATTTCATATATATAGAATAGATGATGTTTATCAAACCACCTCTAGTAGCGGTTCCCAAAGTGTGCACCGCGTCACCATTTCGAATATTTCTTGGTCTAAAAATAAATTTTAAATCCAAATGACAGCGAAAACGGTGAGGTAAGCGTTCTTTTTTATAGATTTTTCTCAAAAAACACTTTTGTAAAAATGTTCCTAATTATTAGCACTATACCTTGAAATATGTGGATACCCAATAGTACTTTGTTTAAAAAAAAACTGAAAACATTTGTTGACATATCGATTTTATTTACCTTGGTTACCTTAGCATTATATTGGAATAATTACACTGCGATTAATACTATCGATCTGAATAGGTTTTTGATTGTAATGAATTGCAAGGGTGCTCTGAGAAAACATTAGTTCAAATAATAAGTTTAAGAAGTACTGATCTATAAATTTGTCGTCAGTCGTTTTATATTGCATTATTAGATCTGCCCTCTCGTGAACAAAACATGAGCTAGTTGTGGCGTGCTCTAGTGATAAAATTATCTAACAAAATGTAAAACTAAAGTTACAGTACGTTTCACGAAATTAGCGACTCCGCAGTGGCGCTTCCAGTAGCGAAATTTCGGTGTTTCGCGGTTTCTCAAACTTGCACACAATACACGGCAATTTTGAATGCTGCACGGTTTTTAAAAAATATAAATGAAAATAATTGTTTTATTTATTGGATAATATATTTTATTATACATTATATTATTTATAATAATATACTAAAATATACATTTTCTTTTGATATTTCAATATTAATATTTACAATAATTATAATATTTTTAAATTACCGCGATTTTTTAGTCACACGTTTAGTTAGCCCTCACTAAAATCTATCACCGGAAGTGCCACTGCGGAGTCGCTAGTTTCGTGAAACGTACTGTAGTTAAATATCTTCATTTTGCGTCTCTGAGCATAACTGACTTAACCAATTTGTGTCATTTTATGTATATTTCCATAAGTAGTGTGCGCAATAGTCCTAGAACTGAAATACAATAGACAACAGGACACATTTTACCATCGCTTTATGTTAGAAGCCGGGCTTAAATTGTTTAAAGTGCCACAATTAGTATTGTTAAGATCCTTGATTTTTTTAAGACCTAACCAAACCGAACTTTTAAAATATTTTATCGAATTCGAAATCAAACATTAAAAAGTAAAAAATGTATTCTATAATTTGAAAAAAGTTGTATATTTGTGTGTAGTTAAAAAAAAAAAATTATAATGTTTTTCATGGATTCGTAATAAGGCCGTTGTGTCTCACCGGCCATAGAACACAGTATTGGTGACTGCGCAGAATCGGTATTGAATGATTTTCGATTAATTGAAATTTTTTTTTTTTAAAATAGTGAGTTACGAAAGAATCTATAAATCACGCCCTACGGTCTATGCGTGCCTTATACTTGATGTAGTACTTATCTGAAAATCCGTGAGCCCCGGCGAAAATTAAGAGCACAATCTAGAGCAGTCGTACGACCTTAATGTATCTAACTTAACCTATACTAGTTTTTTTATGAATAAATATTTATTAAAATTTAATTGGATTTCGTTAAAAATATTATAGTATGGTATCTGGTTAATTTCAAAGGTGGCAAATTTGTTTTACTAAGCTTTCTTTTTTATAAATTCATTGCTAGTAAAAATAATATTGAATATATTCAGAATTATAAATTATAATGTATAATTCTGTACTAAAATATATTAAAAATATTATAGTTTATGGGATCCATAACTGTTTGAGAACTTTTATGGAATAAAAAAAAAATATACCTTAATTAATAGTGAAAACGGTCAGACAAAATGAAAACTATCGTTAAGGGGGGGGGTGGAGGGAGAGACGGTTAACTAAAATATATAATATAATATTATAATAATTTATGATGAAGTCATAAAGTCATGAGGCTTGCTGAAATTATATGTGGGCTTGTTACAAATAGTTCTAATTTTAATTTTTTTTTTTCCTGGTTGGTCGGAACTGTTGCCTTAATCATTTCACAAAACAAATCCACGCTTCCTTCGTGCATCAGCTCAACATGGAATACATGTATTTATATATGACACTGTTATTGTCTAAAACCAATAGAGTTAATCGCATACATAGGTAGAGTATATTATTATTATTACGTATAATTGGCAAAAGCTGCAATATAACATTTTAAAAATTTAAAAAAAAAATAATACGATTAACCCGACCTAACCATACTAGAGTAGATATTTGAAGGCATTGAGCCCTTAATCTACTGTGCCAACAATATTAGCGCTTATACGCAACGGGGAAGACGCTCTTCAATTGTTGTTATTTTTGATGGCCGGAAAGTCGGCGTACCACCCGTACGAGCCCAACGGGCCTGTGTGTGCGCCGAAATCGACGTAACTGCTACCGTAGCCGCTTCCGGTGCGACGTTGTGGTGTTGCAGCTCTCGACGGATTACGTTCCGGTGATGCAGAGGCACAAGCGAAACAGACCAAAACCGCAAAAGCGACCGCCGTCAACCGGATGAACGCGTTCATCTGCGAAAAAAAAATCCATTTATATGAAACAAGTCGCTTATCTAAAAAATAGAAAGGGGCTGACTTCTTTCCGAAAGACATCACATATAGTTTAAATAGGTGCAAATTAGTAAGCATTATACGCTAATATAGAAGTTAGATTCCTATATTAACATGGGTTTTCTTCAAACAAATCTTCATATTACATCCGACGTTGTTTTTGCGTTGAAAATTGCATCGCAGGCGTATATTATACATTACCTATACAAAGTGATCAGAATTTTACATGACAACGATTTCTTCGTCATATAATTATAAATAATACACTTATCATAATACTCTACTCCAGGCGACGCATTTATTCATTTATTTAATTAATTTTTATGTATACATTTTTCATTTATATATTTCTTTACTTTATTTATATAATTATAAACAGAAAATAGAGAAAAATATCGATTAACAATTTGTACTAAATATTTTAATATAAAATTATATGTAGGTTTACCGTTTTCAGAGGCATTGGTAACTACATATTGAAACAAGAAAACACTAAATTATTGAATGAAATTTAATTTATTACACTCGTCTACATTACGTTCTGATAATTACATGTTCCAGATATTTCGGGGGGGGGGCGTTTAAACCCCTAAATCCTCCCCCTGCACTATGATAAATAAATCGATTATTAGCCGGTAATCTAAACGTGTTTTAATTAGATTGCAGTTATTTATTTATAACACCTTAACTACTATATCTAATAGTAAAAATACAAATTATAATTATTATTAATTTGAGACGAACTTTGAGTAAACTTTGGTTGTTGTCAAGAAATAACAAATTTGGAAATAATAAAAATATTGTTTTCATAAATTTCCTGTTTTTCTTAACGTGTAATCCTGGTTTTTTCCAAATGCTATGAAAACCGCTTGGGAAATCAAAAAACAAGCTCCCTAAAGTACCATGTAGACAATATTATTTTCTTTCAGAAACGGTGCCGCACGTATATATCAGAGCAAGACTTCTGGTAGAATTTTTGTACGCAGTATAAAAAAAAAAATAATAATAATAAAAAAAAAAAAAAAACAGTAAAACCAATGCATTCCTCGCTTCGCTCAAAATCTAAGATGTACGCAATTGAGTATCAAAAAAATTATTTTTATAAATTTTGCGAATTTTGAATTTTTGTAAGAGCCTTTCAAAATGGTTTTTCACTAATGAAGTGAGCAGGTTTTTTAATGGTTAACTCTGATTAATTTTATGCTTATAAAATCACAAAATTCGTTAATTAAGTTCCTGAACGAATGTATACCCCATAGTTTTTTTACGAAAACAACACTGGTTATGTAGATGGTAAAATTAGAATAGGAAAAGATGGAATACAATATTATAAACCGCGTAAAAATTCGTTAGAGACCATAGGAATGAACAATTATAATGAGTGAATTGATTTGAGTTTTGATAGATAAGCATGATGAAATCGAAAGATTGAAGATTAGAAGAAGAAGTAAAGAAAAGCAATTGTACATTTTAATATTCACCAACTATAATTAAAATAATATACTTACGTTGTCGTACTTGCGTTGTACGCTCAAATATATTATAATATAGGTAATGGATACTACAGCAGAACAATAAGGAGTTAGTATACTGCACTACAAGTACTTACTGCGTAATAAACAACAATGATAATAATAGTGATTTGTGTTCGATATTGTAGCACACGCTTTCTCTTTTTTTTTTTATGTTAAATATTATGCACGTCGCAGGTGTAGGAAATTGTCAGGGAAAATGGAAATTGTTTTTTTTAAACAGCATTAAAAACGGAAAAATTATATCTAATTTCTGAATATCTATATAAACAAAAAAATGTATCATTATATCATGTACATCGTACATTATAATAATTAATACGTTATTGTAGATATGCCTTTGAGTGTGTTGCGAATATGTGAAATAGTACAATTTAAAAATAATCGAATGTGACTTGAAAATTAAAATATCGAAAAATATTAACGTACAAAAACAGATAATGTTCTTATTACCTTTAATTTTGATAATAGGCCAATACACTCTAATATAAAAACTAACTGCACAAAATCGGATGAAGTATAACGACATTAACGTTTTTACAACATAAACCGTAACACATTCGTATATGTAGGTAATATTATATTGCCGTAATGTATTTCGAAGAGGTTTCCGGGGAAAATTCAATAAAAACTAAAGACTAAAATAAAACCGGGGTCTCGTAATTTTGTTATTATTTTTTTTTTTTTTTTATTGCGTGTTTTTGAGAAAAACTGTCCAAAATCTTTTTTTTTTTAAAAAAAAGCCAATTATACAAATCAATTACTGCCGGTGAAAAATCAGCATAATGTTTCTAGGTGCTATATAAATACTACAGTTCCACTAATCATAAAAGTGTTTTCTGAGAATAAAAGCATCTAGGGTGTAGAGGGCATAATGTTGAGAATTTCAATAAATGTTTCGAATTATAAGTAAAAGTAAGCATTTTCATAATGCGAAAAAGGTTTTATTCATACTGCATTACGGTCACACGGCGCATAAAAACTGTGCGGTTACCACGCTACTCGGAACGATAACGAAAGTATAATATATAAAAAAAAAAACGATTTCTCTCCGGACCGCATAATGTTTTCTGTATGCTTAAAACCGACTAAACGGGTAATGATAATATTGCGATTCGACGAAATTGTATTATAATAATTGATGTATAGAAATGATAATATTTTTTCGACGAGCACGTGGGCGCAGGACTCGAACCGCGCGGTGATCAAGCGCGTCTCGGCCGCCGACCTTTTCGCCACCCGTGCGCGCTGCGGTGCCTCGCGAGTCCGGCTCCTGACAAACACGATCTGTTGCACACGTCACATACGAAACGCGTCGGGGTCACGCCGGTTTGGTCTGGGGGTCCGTCCGTTTGGGCCGCCCGGTCGGATGTCCCGACTCTGTCGTCACCGTTCACGACTGCCCGCGGTCGATTGTCGTGCACCGCCACATCGCCAGCACCACCAGCAGCAGCAGCAGCAACGGTACCGGTTACCGGATCTGCAGAGCAAATCGCGCATAAGCGCATAATCGAGAGTGGAGATTTGGGACTCTGTTCCTCCAAAAACCACAATAGACCCCCAAACTTATTCTATAGTTTTGGGAACACACATTGAATTGAATATAAGTGCTCCAAATACGTAGATAAAAGGAAATAAAAATAAACACGAATATAACAATATAACAACATAATTAAAATAATATAAATTAATAAATAATGGACTACAGTTGAAATAGTACATTTTGCTAATATGTGTGTAGTAAGTTATTTATCATTTAGTCATATTGTAAATTGTAATTAGGTAAAAGTTTTATATATGAAACCGAGTGCAGCGAGTAAACATTGTTTAGGGTTGTATACTTCTGTAAACACCCCAGTTCTGGTCTTTAGCCAAGACTCAACCCCCTCAAATCTCAAACGATATTTACGTCTATGAAAGCACGAGATCGAAAAATTTGAAAAACCGTAGGTAAATTTGATGTTAGACGATTTGGGTAGCGAACGCTTTTCTTCAGACTTCCTCGATATTTACTTTCAGTTACAGTCTTGTACAGCCTAATGATACCAGTTTACCTCCTCTCGTACTGTTATAGCTTTAGAGATCCATATAACAAACGTTACATGTTTGAAACCCACTTTTTAATTGTACTAATTTCGTGCACATAAATTCAGAGGCGTATTTATAAACATGGGGTCCATCGGGGTTGTATTCATCATCCTTCGAAATGGTATGAGTTTTTTTTACGAATTATAATATGATATTATGTATAGAAGTTGTTTTGCAATGTCAGAATCTATTTTACAAACTAACCGATCCCAAGTTTAACTAACACACATACACAGAACAACTAAAAACAAAAAGTAAGCATTTTACTTGAATTGTCCACGAGCGTAAGAATTGCTTTTTCGGTGATTATTAATTCTAACTTGATTTCAATCATGTTATTTGTTAACAGAAACTCCATTACTTTTTTTATAATCGGTCGTTGGGCACATGCATATCTATTCTGCAATAGTTAAACATTTAATAAGAAAAAAAAATACATTGTTATTTATTTATAAAACAACTATTTACAAACAACAAAATCCAGGCTCATAATTAAGGAGAGCGAAAGAGCTACTGTCCCTAGTGGCAACAATTTGAAGAGCCTTTTAGAAAACTTGAAAAGAGTTGACCGATACTATTAATGGAGGGATATTTTTATGAGTGAAAAGTTGGAAAGGTAGGAATTATGTACAGAGTACTTTAGTTTGAGTCCTGAATGCCAACAACAATAAATCAAAAAACGATTCTGAGGTTCAAACATATTTAGATAAATTGAAAATTGTTCTGGTTTATACCTAAAATCGGGGTTGGACTGGTCGACTGGGATGCCGGGAAATAATGCGTCACCGTCGTTAATAAACTTAAATAAAAAATACATTTTAAAAATTAAAATAGAAATTTGGAATACGTTTTTTTAAGCTATTTGTATTATTAATAAAGTTAATATCAGTATAAAATTGTGTCCATAATAATATTGTGATGGGCACATATGGGCGGGAAATTGGGTTTACAAAGGTATAGTCATAGAACTTATTATACTATTATACGAGCCAACGAGCTTTCCGTGTATCGTATACGTTAAAAGCTGCGGTCAAACATGATTTGACGTTAGGTGCACCACTTCGAACAATTATTATTGTATTAGAATCAAGAAATAATCACATTACATTGTTATAAAATGTTTGTAGACATTTTTAATTTTTTACGATTTGTTATTTCAAACTTATACAATTTGTATTATTTTTTTTAGAATCTGCATGTTTGATATTATCTATAATATTAACATACTTGTATAGCTTCAAATATATTGATTAGTTCCGATTACTGGAACAAACCAGATAAATTGCAATCCGTTTTTATTTTTCAAAATTATTTGAAATATTATTAATAATTACTAAAAACGACATTAACTTATAATTTATAAGGTGTATGATAATTTATTACACATTGAATTGAATAACTACGTGGTAAGAAAACGGTTGTTTTATTATTGTATATTGATCACACAGTCGCTAAAAGGCGCCCTCCAGGGGACGTGGAGAACTCAAATATTTTCAGAGGCAAACTTTTTATTCCAATACCAACTTACTTACCGACGAATCCTCACACCGTCCATTGGTTAACATACATGGAGATATAACACCGAGTTTTTATCGCTTCCTTAAAAATTGTCACACAGTAAACTCTTTAAAAATAAGTCAAAGGCAATCACCTCTCAATAACCCCTTTCGGCACGCCACTGGCGCCGTCTATGTTTGAACGCGGTATAAACGTGCATAACTCTATTAGTATTAGGTCTATGGTTATAATGAAACAAAATTGATTGTCGTTCTTATCTGATTTATATTAATGTAGTGTGGCGCGAAACCCGCCACATCAGTATTGTAGTTCTATGGAATTCCGTTAAAAGTTAATTATTAGATTAATTACTTTTCCAAGAAATTCTCCGGTTCATTATTACGTAAGGATAACCTCTTCAGAGCTTATTATGTTATTATCCAAGTTTCGGCGTCTTGTTTTTATTATATTATTTAATGTGAATAATATTGTCTGGTCGAATGTCTAAAAATAGACTTCTCGAGAGGGGGGGATCTTCGGCGGAGACCGGAGGTCTATGAATTTTGGAATCAAAAGGCATTCGGTTTGTGTTTTTCATGCATTTTGTATTGTACCGTTTCGATTCTCCATACAGTAATATAGGTAGCAAAATCGCAAAACTACGGTTTCCGAGGAATAGATTATTAGAAAAACCACACTTTATTTTTGTTTTGTTTTTTTACATGGCATTAAGATTGATTTGATAATATTGTTGTATTATTTGGGATATGGATTTTGTGATAAATTATATAGTTTTAAAATTAAAATTTAGTGCCAGCCACCGGGTCACCAGTAGTTCAGAAGAGTCCGTCTATCACTCAGCGGTTTCAACTAAATATCTGAAACAAGATTAATTTCAGTTTACGAATTTTAAAATAAACTCGAAATTTAAACACTCCTATTAAAAAAAAACTTTTCTACCAGAAATCTTGCTTCAATTTTTTACTGTACCATAATTTCTAATTGAAAATATCATTTAGTTGAAGAAATGAAATAATTTTCTTTGAATTTTTCTTAATAATTGTGGAAAACCGGGAAAAATCTTGGGAAAAATGGTAAAAGTATGTAATGGTTGAGGCCTCAATAGAATACTGGATGTTACTTTACACTTTGGATATTCAAGTACTCCACGGAACACATGAATTCCGTGATTTATAATCATGTGATTCGTAATCGAACTTGTTTTTTAAAACTTAACACCTAAATACCTTCTAATGTTTGGTATTCTGTTGTAGTCATTTTTTTTTTTTTTTAAATTATATATTAGCTATTTATTATTATTGTTTTAAATATTTTACACTTAAAAATACACATGCATTTATCTTTTCACGTGCGGGTATTCATGAACTATGTGAATTTTTAAATGTACACGTAATTATTATTATAGGTAATATTATTACTATGACATAATCCATAATTGATCGTTCGTCAGAATCAGGCACCATCACTATAGCTTTGAAAATTGCTCGTACGTAACACGCAAAACACGTTAAAGTGGAACAAGAACACGGCATCAAATACGTTGTAATGATAAACGAAAAATTGAACTTGCAACCGGCATAATATTACAATATTATTGTTTGAAACGATGAAACATCGCATAATATTTCTATGTCTTTACTCGTTATATATTAATTTATAAAAACAAAAACAAATCCAATAGATTATGCACTTTCGTTTTTTACAGTTTTATTAAGCCAGAAAATATATATTCGCCATAATGGTTAGCACCAAAAAAAAAAGCTCATCAACTTCGCTCCGCTTTTGTTTATTTGTAGGTGGGAAGTTTTGAAAATATAAGGTACCTATAGCCGTAAGGTATATGGTGATTTAATTTATATACTGAAAGCAACGGTGAAGCATTGCAATAAAAAACAATTCTGTAGGGATCTCGGTAATGGTAGTTATAGTAGTATATTAGTCTTGTTGTCAAGGTAATCTAGAAATCGATAAAATTAAATCAATATATCGTCATTTTGTTGTTTTAAAATTGTTTAGAAAATAACTGTTAGGAACTTATTAAATTATTTAAATAAATTATCGCCGGCCAGAAAATTCTCATCTTATTATAAGGTCATGCGTGAGGTTGGGTGAGGTTATATTTTTAATAACCACAAAAGCGTTTTCCGAAAATGTAAACAAATATTACCTAAACTAACAGTTTTTTGAGCTTCTTCGTTACTTAATGTAAATAGCCACAAATTTCGAAATAATTTATAACGAAATCAACTATAATTTTGGTATTAAAGAATAGTTATTAAAAATTATTAACCACTTACCTACCTACTTTTTTTTATTTTTTCACAATACTTTCCCACTGCTGCTATCATTTATTGAAAAATTACAGCTAATATACATTTTAAACCTGTTTTACCCTTAATGGAATGGGCTAACTTATACATATACTGCCCTGTAGGTAACTAAAAAACTGTAAAATGAAGTAAAAGTAATCCTAGGTCTAACTTAGCTAACTTAAAACTGCTACGATTACACAGTAGTAAACCTTTCAGGAAAGGTTCTACACTTAAAAATTTGAGCAAGTCCTCTGGTAGAAAAGTTGCGCACAGATAAAAAAAAAAAAATAATAAACATTTTTTATAAAACTATAAGCTTCTTCGATCTATTTAGAATCTAAAATTAAATTCTGCTAAACAAATGAATTATTTGTGTATTTTATTGTTTTTCTTGGAAAATAATAAATTTACAAGAAAATATTTAGCTATATTTGTATAGGTATTGTTATATCCCACAATTAATGGTCTATCAATTTTTATTTTAAGTGCTGTAGTTTCACCATAATCTTTAATTAACTAAAAAATTACAAAATATTATTCTTTAGACAATTTTTAAACCCCTTGTGCCACGTCGTAGAAACAACTTATCATGGCCAAAATTTCTAGGCATTATTTTTATATATTTCTCAAAAATATTGAGGGGCGTCCCGACAAAAATATGAAATTTTTTTCCTTATAAATAACGACCACTATAATGCACATGCTTTGAGTCTTCCCGGTCCGGTTCGAGAACCCGACAGCCTGGAGGCTTGTCCTGTCCTTCCCCCTCGTGTTTCGGTGGGGAACTTCTTCGAAGCGTGGGAGCACGGCTTACCTGTCCTCTCATCCTGGTTATTGCTAAACCTTGCAGCCCAGGATGTCCTCCATTATTAAGAAGAATGTCTATATGCAGACCATCTTTTTATTATACAGTATGTGTTGCTTTTGAAGGAAATTTAAATAAAACATGTTATTAGCGCCATTGGGTGACAAACAATTTCAGTTTTTCATTTTGAATGACATTCTTTTACTACGGCTCTAAATACCGAATAACAGAACGACTAAACCACTCAAGTGGTTTGCGATTGCTGTGAAAAAAGTAGTGGCTTCTGTTTTTAACTTTTAGGGCGTTTGATATAGGCAATATAATATGCGGGTTCAATTTGAATGTATGCTATAAGCGACTGGGGATCCGAAAAGGATTTAAATTCCAATTTCCAAGCGTTTATTCGAAAACAATTCCTGATTTTTCTTTCTTTCCGAATTAGCGATTTTCGCGTTCGCTTTTATTTTAAATTCAAAATAATTATTGTTATAATACAATATTTTTCATCAATTAATATAATATTCAGTGTCGGAAATAGATAACTAATAATTTATCTAGATAAAGAACAATATAACTAAACTAACTTTCATCCAGATTAAGATAAAAATTAATACATTTTATCTTGATAAATATCAGATAACTTAATGTTTATTTTTAAAAATATTCAGTGATACAGGTATTTGGTAAAAAAAATATTTTAAAAATAAACATAAAATAAAATAGTTAATTTTTAAATAAACTTTATTGAGACATGAGTAGGTATATAATAAATGTAGTAGTCATTAATTTGAATATTTGTACTTGTAATTCTATGAAACCAGTATCAGCTAATGAAGACCGCCGTCATACTGTGGCGGGTAGCAAGGGTAGATGTTTTGCTATTGCCTATTGTTAGTTGCTCTTACAACATAACATTCCATTATTTTATATTTTTGGATTTACCATTGTTTGCGATGTAAAACTATAGACTAATGATCATTCAATATTGAAATACATGGTTTAATAATAAAATTTACCAAATGTTCGTGTAATAGGTATATAGTGAACAGACAAATGTAAATATCTATTAATCCTATTATCTTTAATTTTAATTTTTAATTTTTTAGTCCGTTAAAATAAATTATCTAAATAGATACTGATAAATCATTTTTTTCTACATAACTTAACTAGATAAATTTATCTAGATATTTCCCAACACTGATAATATTTATAAATAATATTATCAAGCACATAGCCTTTTAAGTTTACTGTTAATCCAAATAAATGCGTATGTTCTACGACGGACGTTTTATGTATATACGTCCGTGGTTTTGCTTGCAATACTTGATATGAAGCTCAGTGGTTCCCAAATTTATACTTTATGTTGCCTATTTAACTTCTGAAATTGCTCTGAAAATGGTGAAATAAGTTACTTACTCAGCTCCTAAGAATGTATTTTTATTCAAACAATATTTGTATAGGTACCAGAAATAATAATTATACTATAAGTATTACTTACAAATTATTATTTTAGTAATAATTGTTGGGCAAGTTTTATTATTATACATTTAATTTGTTTTCTAGTGTGGGTACATAACTTAAATTTTGTATTATTAGGTAGATTTCTGTTGTACTTTACTTTGTATCAAATACTCTAGGTATTTGATCAAAATTTAAAAAAATACCAATATTATGGTTAATATTATGTTAGTTATGTGTTATGTCGAACCATTTTTAATATTGTGATGAAGGATTTGCTGCATATCATTGTACATTTGTGTGTATTTATTGTCTATACACCGTCTAAATAGCAATGTTTTCGGAGTTCGTTTTCGAACCACTGGGTTTTCTTATCAAATATTTTTAACAAAATATAGATAATATTCTTCATTATCTATGTACAACATGCGGTAAAAATAACACTTTATTTGTTACTAATATGTATTGTAATTTGGTATTTAAAATAATTCCATAATATTTTTTTAAACTATCTAGTTTAAATATATTACAAGTATGAATTGTGACGAATTCGGCGATGGTTTGGATAACGACTGTGTCATAAATCCTGCAAAGGATCCTGTAAATTCTAAAACATTTGGTATTAATCGAAGATCGAAGTTTGGAAGAAAAGTAAGTAGTTCTTAAGATTAGTTTATACGTTAGTATAAATGTTTCGAGGTCATTAATTTTGATTGTGCCAATAAATTATTTCCTTTTTGGATTATAAATAATACAGCTCTTAGATGTATGAGCTAACCTTAAAACTCCGAATGCAGCTGGTAAAACTGTAAAAACATAATTCTTATAATCATACAAGTCATTAAGTGTGCACTGTGTTAGAATAGCGAATGTGTAAGACCATCATTATATATTTGATTTGGAGTATTTGGACTAGGTAGGTAGTATAGATAAAAATAATGAAAGATAAATTCCAGTTACATAATAAATAGTTATATTATCATGTTATTGTTTAATAATAACATTTTGTCTTTGTTAGAAATATTGTATATTGTATATTCTTTACAATTTGTATTCTACATTATTTATTGTTTTATTTTATATTACTGAGATGGAATTTAGTACTTATTTCAAATTTTGTATAAATTGTCTATAATTTTGTTAACTAAGTACTTAAAACAATATTTGTTCATTTTATTTATTATTTTTTTAAGGGCGGGGGGGGGATAGTTTTACCATTCCAATACTTGGGTATTTTGTTATTTGGGTTGGCTTTAATTTATGGTTGATATAATGTTGAATTGTGTTCTTTAGGATGAAAACTTTGCTAAAACCAATGGAAAGAATGGACATTTTCAAAAGAAAAATGCGGATGACAAAAATGGATATAAATCTTCAATGTTTAGAAATAATCCACAAGTACCTGCAGCTCAAACCAAGGCCATATTCAGTAAACAAGTTGACAGTGTTACGGTCCAAAAAAATAAAAACTCATTGTTTTCCACTTCAACCTATAAAGATTTAACAGTTCTGCATGCGCATATGGTTAGTAATAAACCATTATTTTGAAATTTGTTTTATTGTTCCTTAATATTATTATTGAAAAGTTTTTAAGATTTAAAGTAATTATGGTTTAGCATTTAAACAATATTGTACACTGTTTTATCATTATTTATAAATATTAATAATTGTGAACTATGTATTGAAAAAACTGCTTTCAAAGCCGCTAGTAACTTTTGTAATAGGCTATTTTAACAACTTTTAAATCAGATTTTTCAAATGGTCTATTCTTATTTGTAAAATAACTTATTTCAAACTAAAACAGTGTAACATCAAATAGTAAATATACTAATATAAGAATTTACACAATATACTTTTTCAATTAAATTATATTTAAGAGAAATTACCTCATAGATGTAGATGATTTATTTTTATCAGCTATACACATGACAATTTGTAATTTTATCAACAATAGTATGTCATTTGATATCTCAATTTTTAAACAATATATACAATTCATAACAACTGTAGTGTAAAATAATGTAATGTTATTACTTTTTTTAATTTTATTTGCTATTAGATAGCGAATTTGGAACAGACACTAGGAGTTACTAAACTGACAACTGTTCAAAGCCAAACAATACCTGTTTTACAATCCGGTAAAGATGCTATGGTTCAATCTGAGACTGGCAGTGGTAAAACATTTGCTTACGCTGTACCACTTATTGAGTCATTACATAATATTCGACCAAAATTAACTCGAACCGATGGTCTCCGGGCATTAATTATTTTACCAACCAGAGAATTAGCATTACAGACTTATGAAAATTTTATCAAATTATTAAAAGTAATATATTTGTTTTATTAAATTAAATATATATAATTCAATAATAAAATTGATTATTTTCTTATACGTGAATGAACATGATTTTATAGCCTTACACATGGCTTGTACCTGGTATATTTACGGGTGGTGAGAAACGAAAATCTGAAAAAGCTCGTATGAGAAAAGGTATCACGATACTTATTGGAACACCAGGGCGATTGTTGGATCACGCAATGAACACCAAGTCAATATCATTTAAATCGCTTCAATGGTTAGTGATTGATGAAGCAGATCGAATGTTGGATCTTGGATATGAAAAGGATATTACTGGGTAAAATAAAAATAATTTTCTTTGTTTTTTGCATGTTTGGACACGTATATAAGATAGGTCTCATATAGTTTTTGTGTCTGATTACTATTCTTCTATAGAAGAATATTCATCATATTTAAATTTGAGAATTTTTTGTTCACTTCAGTTTACTTTCTCTTTATATGTTTATTTTGAAATTATTTTTAGTAAATAAATCAAATATAAAGTAATGACACCACTCTCTATTTAAGTTGCATTTTTGTAAAAAATATGTATGCTGGTATATAAATATTTCCAATTCTATTTGATTTTTAATTAATTGTCTTCTTTTTTTTTTAGTATTTTATCTGTAGTTGATGAACAGCGTGAGGAGTCTGTATCTCGGCAAACAGTTTTATTATCGGCAACTTTGTCTGAAGGAGTACAGCGGTTAGCAGGATTATCATTAAAAGATCCTGTTTATATTGATGCATCTTCTACTGGAGATACAGACCCAGAATGCTTGGCAATACCAGACAGTCTTTTACAATATTATGTCATAGCACCACCTAAATTAAGATTAGTGACACTTTCTGGTGTTTTGTTGCAAAAATTACAAGTAAGGCTTTAATTCTAAATCTAGTATAACATAAGTAACTGTAGCCAAATATAATTTATTAATAAATACATATTATTTTCATAGAAAGGTCAAGTGTCTAGTAAAACATTGATTTTTATGGCTACTCAAGATATGGTTGATTTTTATACAGAATTATTGACTACTGTACTGACTTGCTTAACTATGTTTAAACTTCATGGAAATATGACTCAAGTTGAACGCACAGAAGTTTTTAAATCATTTAAAGCTGCAAATCACGGAGTATTATTTTGCACGGTATAAATATTTTTATGTAAAGATTGGGTGAATTATTTAATTTCATTGTATGGAAAATAAAATGGTAAAACAAAAAAATATGTTTAATTAATTTGATATAAGTGTATAGTGATTTACATTTTCAATTCAGTAGATCATCCTTAATAATAATTAAAAAATTATTCATATTTTGGTAAAAAATACTTCCTTTAGGAATATACAAAGAAAAAAGAACTATATATTTTTTTATTTGAATAAAATACCAAAATTGAATGTTAAAATTAGATATTTAACCTTTTTATCAGAAATTTTTTTTTTATTAAATAATATATACAATTTGTAAAAAAAAATTACATCAAAAGAATTAATGAAAGTTGCTCAGAATTGTAATAAATAGAGACAAATTACAAGTACATATAAGTTTAATAATAACTCGGAGATTGGTAATTATTGAATAATTTGGTAAATTATCAAAATGATCAATAATTTTGATAATCATCACTATCTTATTAGTTAATTTAAAGCAAAAGAGAAAATGTATTAGGTGTTAAAGTATTTAAATAATACTATGTATATAGAATCAAAAATCTGTTTATTGTTAGAAAAAATTAATATATAAACAAATAAAAATAAATAACAACATAGTTTTAATTGATTTTTAAATATATTTTATAAATTAATAATTTTGTCTATTTTTTAGAAATAATGTTATTCAATTTTTTTAATAATATTATCTTGGATATCTGTTGATAAACTCAGTATAATGTTGAAATAAAAGTTTTGAAATTCAGTTTATTATATTGGTGGTGTTTTGGCAAAATGGTCTAATTAATATTTGTATAGGTTTTCAAGAGAGTGAAAAAACCTGTTTTTGTTATACATTTTGAGCTTTAATAACTTTTTTGGAGTTATTTTTGAGATTTTTCATGTAAATTTTTGTCGCTTTTATAGCAAATTAATATTCAATTAGTTATAATTATTATTGAAACATGAAGAACATACATTAGGTATATGGAATAATTTAAAATTTGTCCCTTTTGATTGTTTTGCAGTTTGACATGTGTTATAATGTTGCTTAGTTCACATACATTTACTATTGGTGTTAAGTCCTGAAAAATCTCGTTTAGATCCGTGATTTACAGCTTACCCATTATAAAATGATATTCAAATCTCAAATTAAAAAATTATCTTTAGTTTGAAATGGCCACTCTAAAGTAAGAGTTGGACCAGACAATACACCTATGTACCCTTTATCCGGTTAATATATAAACTATCGATTAGCCTCTAAGTGAAGCTTGAACCTTTTGGTCTAAATACCATTGATATCTCCCAAGAATCTCAGCAAATTAATATTTGGTTGAATTTTAAGATTTTATTGATTGATATGACAATATTTAGCAATTTATTAATATTTCAATTATTAACAATAATAAAATTAGTTATATTTATTAAAATTTCCAGGATGTGGCATCTAGAGGGCTAGATTTACCTTTAGTTGATCGTATAATTCAGTTCAATGCACCGATAACACCTACAGATTACGTTCATAGAGTTGGTCGTACCGCACGGGTTGGTCAGAAAGGAGAAGCTACTTTATTCTTAACTCCACATGAAGCCATGTTTATAGCTAAACTTCAAGACCATTCTATTGTGTAAGACCAAATAAAAATATAAAACTAGAATAAAATACTATTGAAATTAACAATTTAACGTTTATTACAAATTAAATATATAAAAAAAAAGATTTTTATTTTTTAAATAAATTTATAATTTTTTTTTTTATACTGTTCATAAGGTTAATTAATAACCTTAAGAGGACGCCACACCAACATCTATTGTCTCTGTCTTACAAACGCCGAGACATAGCAAATTTGTGTTTTGTAGGACACATTTTGTGCCGTTAGTTTTATTATAGACGCAAATTGATCTATTACTAAAATTAAAGGTAAGAAGATTATAATATGCTCTAGCGTTGATGATTTTTCAATATTTTTATTTTTAAATGTGATATGAGTATGTTAAATAGTAGAATTTAAAAATGATTATATCTTGCTTAAAAATTAAAATATCAAAAAATCATCACCTTTCTTATCTTTAATTTTGGTAATGGGGCAATTTGCTTTAATATTAAAATAAGCTGACAAAATGTGTCCTGCTGAACTTAAATTTACTATGTTTCGCGTTTGTAAGATGGAGACAGTAGATGTCGGTGTGGCGTCCTCTCAAGAGATTTAGTAAAATCGTTGTAAATTGCGCAAAATGTTGTTTCTTTGACTCTTTGGTACATTTAAATGTTTTTAGTGTTTATACTATAATTTTAACACTGGTAAAATTTGTTTGTGTATTATGAGTAAACTACAAGTTTTATAAAATATATATTATTTTTATTTTTGTATTGATTATAATAAAAACCAAAACAAAATAATTGGAAAAACAAATGATTCAAAATATAGATTTTTCTTTATAAATTGTGTAATGAATAGTTACTATATACTTTAAGTTTAACTAGAGAGTGAGCATTTTATAAATATTTTATGTATTTGAAAGAAAAAAAAATATTCATATAAAGATCCTCTTCTTAAATATGTTATTTATGTTATTGATATAATATACAACTTATTTTGATGATTAAATTTTAGAGCTTCTGAATTGAAAATGGATAAATGTTTGACATCAATTCTTACTATGGAATTTGAAGGTGTAAGTATTTTGTAGAAATCATTATATTTGTAATTTATTCATAATACTTGTATTTTTCATCTTATTTATATTGGTCTTTAAAAATTAAACAAAATTTATTTTTTATTTAGGAATATGTAAAAACAGCAGAGATGGCTGCTAATATTTTACAGTCTCGTTTTGAAACTGCAGTTCTCGAACAAGACCGCTTACACGAATTGGGCTGTAAAGGTAATTAAAAAAAAATAAATAGATTTTTACATTTATAAACAAATACTTAGTACTAATAAATAACTACTAACCTATAATAATGGTATATCCTTTAACAATACCAGCTCTGTTTAAAATATTACTCTTATAAATCTTTACATATAACAGATACATTTCTTGACAAGCTTAAACCGCCTTAATTGCACCTCCCATAAAACCACCAGTGATTTATACTATATCTAATTAATACATTTTTAATATATAATTTGTGTTTTAGATAATTGATTAGATTCACTCTTGAATATATTTTTATTTTTATAATTTGTATGCCATTGCTACTTATTCTTATTTATTTTTAATGTTAAAATATGTTTTTATTTTTATTATATAGCTTTTAAGTCTTGGGTCAGATCTTACGCAAGTTACCCAAAAACTAGTCGAGAAGTATTCAATTTCAAAGACTGCCATCTTGGTCACTATGCCAAGAGTTTTGCCATACGTGATGCGCCAAGAATAATTGGAGGGATTGGTAAACCTAAAAAAGATCCCAGAATGAAGTGAGTACAGCTGTTTAATTTTGAATTTAACTATAAACTACTTCTTCTTCATACATGTTTTAAATATCATCATTTTTTAAATTAATAATTAAAACTGATTAAGTAGGTTTAGATCAATTGAGTATTATGTATTGGGTTGAACATTTCATTTGGATAGAGTTAAAATATTTTGTGGTGTTAGTTCAACTACATCGAAGTCAAAATTATGCATTCTATACTACTTAAAAATATACATTATCATGCTATTAATTCAGTCTCGGCACAATAATGACAACAGTGAATAATTTGTTAACTGACTTTTTATACAATTATTTCAATTGATTTTTCACAACTACTCATAGTTTGTCTGGTTAGAGAGGTGTATATTATATTGATAAGGTCTGGTGGAGTGGAAAATTGTTGTTGAAAATAAAATTGTAAGTTTAATTTTACACATATTTTTCCTTTGGTTCTGGTAATCGATTCACAAGATACGATTGTTAGTGTTCTGAACGTTAAGTGAAACTATTTTTGGCCTTAAAACGTTTCATTATAGATTACTGTTGGTTATGTCATGTTATATTCAAGGTAGTCAAATTGCAGTAGGTGCCTACTTTAATATTTGTAATAAATACATTTTGTGTGTTAAGCAAAAATTTTTAAAATAATAATCTATTGGTCCTTGGGTATATTTAGATAGAACTACTTGTATAACCCAGGCACCCGGACCAAAGATATGTTTAAGTAAATTGCATTGAAAAAAAAAAAAATAATTAAATTATGGATTAACATTGCTCACATTTTGGAAATAAAATAACAAAATGTGATAGGATAGGAAGTTGGCAATCTAAATGTTCACGCTGTCGGTTTTTGGTGCTTTGTGGCTTTGAATAATCATTTGACTACGGAAACCGAAATAGAAGTGTTGTTAACAAATATTCATTTTTCTGGCCGGAAGATTTGCACTGTTTTGCTCCTCTCGTATAAGTACCCGATTGTTCCGATCGGTGCGTGATAATCGATTTTAAACACAAAGGACGACAGCAAAAGTGTGAAAATGGAACGGTTTTCCTTCAATCACAGTCTACTTTCCATTGTGTAAATTATGGTAGTATGATTATTGTGTTCAGCTTACTGAAAAATTACTCTTAATTTGTTTTCTCGACCAAGAAGAAGCAGAAGAAGAGGGATAATATATTATGTTTGTTGCTGCAACAACGACGGTGTTTTTTTTTTTTTTTACTATTATTTTATTATTATATTTTTTTATAAACAGTTTAAATCTGAAATTCAATGTAAACAAAAACTGAGCGGTAAAAACAAAAGTTTGGATTCTTAAAATATGTAATGATTAGAGTTATTGCATTTGCAACTTTTTTCTACATTTTCAATTTATTGCTAATTAAGTTTTAAATATACGTTTCATATAAGTACGAATTCAAATCTAGAAGTTTTAAGTGCAATGTTTGCAATTTTGTTGAATTTACTCATTTACACGACTATTTTAGCTATATTCGACACTTGATAATTGTATAGATAAGATTATACTATAATATTGTCAGCTATAAAATCTAATAATGGTATCATATTTTTATTTTGATAATTCCAAGTTGGTAGGTATTCAATACAATACGAAAATAATTTGTGAAATGTGACTGTTTGATTGTTATAATCTGTTCTTCAATCAATTTAGAGTGATCGTGTTTTGTTCTTGTTTTGTAAATATGCCGAAAATTAAGCCAAATATTTCCATTTTTATAAAAAAAATTGTAATTTTTTAATGTGCAATTCTGTAATCAATTTCAGTAGTTTTTTACTACTACAATATCCGTGCTCTAGTAATGATCAACGTGTTGATATTTTTATAATTGCTGACTGTTGAGTCTTAAGGATTTCTAGACTTGGGGGTTTCTCCCCCTCCCCCTAAAAACTTAAAATGTTATTTTAAGTTATTTTAGTAATAACGCTAATGTAAGAACTAATAATTAGTATCCATTATAAGTATAATAATATAAATGTCCACTATTAGTTTATAGAAATAAAAGAATTTAAATTATGTCATAAAATTCAAAGAAGTTATCATTAATCACTAGGAAAGAGGACCCTCCTCCCTAATACCAGATATTATAATTTATGTAATAAAAACAAACAAGTCTTGTGATAACATTTTACTTTTAGATTATATTTTTCTGGAATAAGTAGGAAAGTAGGTAATAATTAGTTTGAACATTAATTTTGTTATTTTTACGATTATCAGAAATAGTTTCAGAGAATTAGAAATAGTGTTGAAGGTCAGACACTGGTTATCTCAGTGGTAGATCAATCGCCAGATAAACTTCTGGGAATTTCTGCTCCAGCTAAACTCCGTAAATGTCAACTTATTGATTATTACATAATTTTGATAAATATGAAATTTGTTTGGAATATAATCATATGATTCCAACAATAACGTACCTATTTCATATTGAAAACAATCTTAATCCAGTGCTCAAACATATTATAGCCCTTTATGTTTTTCCTGCCAAACGTAGTATGATACATTTGTATAACGTGTTATACAAAAAAGTCATAAGGCCAAATGCGCTATATTCCAGATAAAGCATACATATAGTGTCCAAATGTTTGTTCTTCTCCCAATATTTTTGACCGCAGAAGAAATATCGTTGAGTATTATATAGGTAGACACATAATCCCAGATAATTCGGTGAGTGTTATAAAATATGTCTTAAGTCAATCTATCTGATCCTCAATTCTTAACTTGATACACGTGTATTGTACCTAATATAATGTAACTTTAAAGCGATACTAATATTACAGATTTTATAAAGTCATGGTTTTGACCTAAGTGATACATACCATAACACAGTATATAAATTTTAAAAATGTAGTTACTAATGACATTATGTCAATCTTTGACTTAAGACTTTTTTATACCATGCACCATTTTTTTGAGATATAATGTTGAGCTAATAATTGTAGAGCTAGGTGTGCTTACATATTATAGTCGCCAGGAAAATCGAGAATATTTTATATATATAGACATGTAATAGTGTATAAAATGTAATTTTCAAAAAAATAATAATAACGATACGCATAGGTATTGTGTTTGTATATTGGTAGGTATTATGTATTATTGTCAGGCCTTATTACCCACCGATATATAATAATGCGTCGCCGTGTATGTATAATAATAAATAATATTATATTATACTATATGTATATACTTAAATATACGCGTCACTGGATTATTGTTATCATTATTTTTTTTTTTTTTTTAATTTTCCGTCTGCCAGATGAAACGCTCCTGAAACGATCTATTATATACCTATAAAATCTATATAGATGGATATTGTGATGTGATGCCTCCGTCGCGCGTCGTCGTCGTAGTCGTTATTAAGGAACGGGCACACCGGATCCGTTCGGTAATGTTCACAGTCTCGCGTCCCGTGACTTGGGGATTCTGACTTTGGCCGCTGCGCAAGTCCAGCCCTTTCTTTCCGTTCAGTCCGTGAGTCGTGAGTCCGTTTTCGATCGATTTCGCTTACACCCGAGGCACGTTGACGGGAGGTTAGAAAACCGAACCGAGCGGATGCGGTGCAATGATGTTTTTGTAACACGCTCGTCGTGTATTACACGCTGAATAATTTAACCGAACGTGAACGGAACTGAACCGAGCCGAACGGATCCGGTGTGCTCGCCCCTTATTAATATCGTTGTGTATTAGTATTATTGTATAGCAGTGTAGAGATCCCGATTGTTGTTATTTATATTTTGTTATTATTAGTTCTACGGTTTGCAGCAACAATGCCGATGATGCCGTAGTGTTGTATGTATTATATACCTGTATAGGTACTCGAAAAGACTTTGGTTACAGGTCAATTGTTATTGTCAGAGCGGTTCAGCTGGAAAATCGGAGCTCTCGGGTATTATATTTTACCGGTCGGTCGGTCTGGTCTTTCGGGGGTATGGTGACGGAGGGAGGGAGGGGGACTAAGCAACAATAAGATATCCAATTATTTGGCCCAGGCCAATTACCGATTGGATGTGCGCGCCTTGGGTTTCCCGATTATGTAACCGCATATGCGCCACATAATCTTCAAGGACGAGCGATTGGAACGTAACAATAATTTTTCGTGTCCTTTTTCCGTTTCGTTTTTTTTTAAACGCCAACGAAAGTGTATTTATTATAATTTAATATATTCCAACATCAACACGCGTACATAATAAATGCGATCTCTACTACTACTGTTGCGCGTAAAGGGATCAGGTATTATCGGACTCGTAAAAGTTAAACCTACCTATACTTTTTATAAGTATTATATGAATAAATAAATAAATGTAATAATAAATAAATAATAATAATAAATATTATATGAATAATAGACGACGTATTTATTGAGTGCGACTGCGCAGATACTTTGAATACATTTTTATCATAAATACGTTTTAGATTCTTAATGTAACGACTAACGAGGAATGTATTTTTTTTTACTATGATATTATTAAGTGTTTAATTTTTTTTAATTTTCTGTCTTTAAACAACTTGTCTACCAGAAATTTTGCTTTAATTTTAAAACGACAAGAGATTTTTGTGGAATTTCGGATCTAGTCGGTACATTTTTTAGAGGTCAATTATTGATTTTCCAAGTGGTTTTCAACACAATTGGGATAAACGAACAAATTTACGGCGTTTTACGATCTCATTATTTCGATTTGGTTTTTCCACTAAAAATTTTGCACTGAAATTCAGGTGTAGCATATTTTCTAAAAAAGTTTTTTTTTATTTTCCGTATAGTTTTCTTAATGATTGGGCAAAGCCGTGAACAGACGTAGGAAAAACTGGAAAGTTTACGGAAATAACGATTCTATTATTTTTAATTTTGTTTTAATGTTCTTATTCGGTTAAAAATAATTCTGAAAACCTTAACTTTAAATTTAACTTTTACAGACGTGGTAAAAGTTTAAAAATATTCTAATAATTTGTGTGATATTTGTTGACATTTTACATTTTCTAGTATTTTTTAATTTTTAATTTGGTAGGTTTTATGTTGATAAAATTGTTTGATTAAAAATAAGTGCTTGACTATTTACAATAAGTTGAGCGTAATGTTGTAGTTTTATTTTTTAATCATTTTAAGATCAAATATTGATGAAAATCGTGGATATTACGGCATTTTAATTAAAACATGTATTATGGAATTTCGTTCAGAATCGTACTTCGTTAGCAATGGTTTATCGTTCCTACACATATAAATTAATTAACTTAATGTATCCTACCTTCTCAACTTTTACACAACACTTACAGCAGTAACGCACTCATCAGCACTATCAGTTAGATTAGGTTATTTAAAATTATTATTGGAACTGAAAATTATTAATTATAGCAATTTGCGGTATTGATGTTATAACTCAAAATTTGCGAAATTGAACGGCGTGTTTGGAAAATGAGTACGGTATTAGTTAAAAAGAGCTGATACTGCAGCTGATGGATGTGTCAGTATTCCACTGTTGTGGGTTGGAAGTTAAGAAGGTAGGTTACATAAAGTATATATCAAACGGTATTTACATATCAGTTTCATGGGTTACGCGATAACAATGAATACAGCAAATACATTGGTACATGGTACTGTTTGGATTATAATGGCTTAAAATAAAACAAAAAAAAGTGGGATCCTCATTGGTGATTTGCATCAACATAATTATTTACATACATTTTTCCCAAATTAAATTATTGTTACTTGTTAGTATAATAGGTATTTTTTTTTTTGAAAGATCTATTGATTTGGCTCGGTTTGTTATAAATTTTGTTTTTTAATGTATTTTTGAACAACTTTCAATTTTAAAGACATATTTTTCTTTTCTTAGTGTATTTTATAGGTGCGTTATTTAAAATTTTTAGAACATTTTAGTTGTTTTATGGGACATTAAATTCTCAATAATAATATTATATGATAAAGTAAAATTTAAAATTTAACGAGAGATATTTTGTGTTAATATTTCAGTATGTATTTAAAAGTATTTGGATACTTTTACTGAGATATTCTTTGCAAGTCCGAAATGGTCTTGTGAAAAAACAAGATTGATAGGAAGAGGGGGTCGTCATTGTCGGCCTTTTTTTCATTCTGTTTATAATTGGTAGGTACTCGAATTCGAAAAACCGTAATTTAGTGCCATCGTACGAGTAATTTTTAACAGTTAAAACGATATATTCATTACGAGACAATTATATTATTTATGTTTCGTTATTTTTTTTTTTTTCTATAATACGATACTATATATTCAAATGCCGCAAGACGTGCGCGAAAAAAACATTTTAATGCGATCCTGACCGCATTAATCAACACCCACTGAAGTTCTACAAAAAAAAAAAATTTCAAATCCCTTCGTTATTTATTTTTTCAACGGAAAACCGAGAATTTATTATAATTATAACCAATTAGATGAACGAAATGATGTTATAATAATATTTTTCTTTATAATATGTAATATTATATTTCCGTATAGTTTTTAGGATATATATCACGAAAATGGCAGTCCGACTAAATAGTCTTATTGCCAGGAACAGGAAATATAATACCACTCTATCCGATCTCCGTTTAACTACTGTCAAAATCTAGACAAGAACATTTAAAAAATATCCAAATATCTACAGAGTGCCTCATAAATCATAACCTAGCGATTTTCTCAGAGAATTTTAAGTGAATTTAATTTCTGTTTTTTCAATCATTATGGAATCGGTTTTATTTTAACGCTATTTTCAATTTTTTACACCTACTTCTTTTACCTTAAATGGGTATAAGCTTTTAATCTTCAAACAGAAAAGCTCCCCTACTTTTTTTAAACGTAGAATAGAGAATATTCTTCTTTATATATTGATATGTATACCACTAATATCAGATTTACCGTTTATGAGTTATAACAGTTAGAAGTTTACCTCAGAAAATAAGGAAAAGATAATAAATAATAAAATAATAAAGTAATAACAAAATTATTAAAGTGGTTATTACTCCTAAATAAACATAGTAAATAAATATAAAAATACAAATTTATGCATAGAAATAAAAAATAAATTCATGGATGCGTCGCCTGGAGTATTATCATATCCATGTTTAGATGACAAATTGCTAATCTTTCTCTCTTCCGATCTTGTTGTTAAATTGTTGACTGATAACTCATACATAGTAAATTTATTTATGCATATTGCATATTAAACGAAACATGTTTGGATAAATATTCTCTATCCGAATCTGTGCTTAACGGAGGCGTTGTTATTTAATTATGAAAAGTGTATACTCATTTAAGTTACAAGGAACAGGGATAAACAAATGGATATGTTTTGAAAATAAAGTTTCAAAGATTCCACAATGACTGAAAAAAATAAAATTCACTTAAAATTCTCTGAGAAATTCCTGATAAATGGATCACTCCGTATACGCAAATATAAACAAAATACTTTATTTGATTATTGATTTTGATTGGTCTTTGTTTCTCGCGTAAAAAGTCTGTCAGGAAAAAAAAACACCTAAACGGCGCATTATGCTGACCCTCGAGCGAGTACTTGTACTCGATAGTCCCCAAAGACAACTTCTTGGCAACTCTCCTGACGGTAATGGAACTGTAAACTTGATCATGGCGTTTATAATAATGTTATCCGACCGATTATATATCTCATATTTCATCGTCTTGCTCTTCCACAGTATGGTATATACGTTAATAGTTAAAGATGAAATTATTTTCTTATTGAAAGAGCAGGTATAACAGTATAATGGATCATCATATTATTTTAAGAGTCAACGTTCGAATATACATGGTGATTCATTAAGTATGCTCAACCCATTTTTATGGTTACATTTTTTTTGCCTACATTAAAGTTCTGATTTTTGGAATTTTTAAATATTGGCAGCTTTAACTATAGTTAACGCTGATTTTTCCGAATACTTAAGTTTTCACAGAATTTAAGGAGTATCTTGTAGTGACACCGCCTTTCGTTTTTAAATGAGAACTTATATTAAAAATTCCATGTATAAATGAAGTGTTAGTTTAAATAAATTTTGGTGTTGGTATTTTTGATTTCCATCAACTTATTGACGAGATATTTCACTTTTAAGTTTGGGCAAGGGGAGATTAGTGGGGCACTATGAAAAAGCCATTCGTCGTGCTGCCACACAAATTTTACTTTCAAAACTGTTATCCTTAGTATTTTAAAGAAGAATAACTCAGAAACTTTTCGTTCAAATTTCTATTATACAATACGTTAAAATGTTCAGAAAAATCATCGGATTTATTATTTATATTAAACATGTAGGCTCTCATTTGAATAAACAAAATTAGTATTGCAACAAGATACTTTTTAAATGTTGTTAAAAATCTATAAGTATTCGAAAATATCGGCTTTAACTTTACTTAAAAATTCCAAAAATTGAATATACCCAAAATTGAATTATAAAAATGGGGTGAGCATGCTTAATGAATCACCTTATACAGGACTCTGAAATTCTTTTTCTAACTTAAAAGGACCAATCTTAAAAGTGGTACAAATCTTAATGCCGTTATAATATTTATTTCGGCTAAATCAACAACATTTAATCTATTTATGGAGTTTTAAACGTAGATTACCGTCTGAAAGTCGGTTTTCGTATTGATAATATATTATAGATACTATAAGTTATAATCAATGGTATTAGATATAGTGCGGTTTCATCGTCTCAAACATAAGGGCAACTTTAAGAATTGCCTTTGTATTACAGAAATTTAATCACTCTGTATAGTGCAGTGTATTAGTACATTGTATACGAGGCCCTTGAAACACTGCAGTCCTTACTCATAGAGTCGATAATAATATTATCATACTTGTAATATACTATTATTGTTATAGCGATGTGGTGTTTTTTTCCATGATATTTTTTCGATTCTGGGAGTTGGATTTTAAAATTCGTTTCGGCCGCCGCCGCCGGGGTCGACGCTATTTAAAAACTTATTAATTTCTCGGCGCACAGCACTGATTATAATCGAATACAACACAAAATATCTTATTGTTTAAGACAAGCAATGAGGAAAAAAAAACACAAAAAAAAAAAACGACGCGCAGTATATACGAAGCAGAAGACGACGGAGAAGGTTTTTAAATTCTGGTAGCTGCAGGGGTTCTCATAGTCTGCCCCCCATCGGTCCTGTGTTTATCGGTCGCAGCTCCCGTCTGACAAAATCCTTTCATCATTATCGCCGCATCACACCCTTTTGTTCGATACGCATATAATATTATTATATACTCGTCGGCCCGCCCATTGTATAGTAGTAAAAAAAATAAAATAAAAACTTGATACATATTATACACCGCGCGGCAGATATTATAGACACGTTAGTTATTATTATTAACTGCTGCCTCACTTATTATTATTATCATTACCATCATCGTCAATTGTGTTACCTATAATGATTAAAATGGTTCGGGGGCCTTTTTCCGATCTAGCTCTTTTGTACACTGCAGTGTGACGACGACGACTAATAAACATTATGCCGAGACAATGGATTTTTTCCACTCGTCCTGGGTCTGCCTGCCTCCTCGCGCATCGCCATTCCGCGGTATGGTTTATCAATATATTTTAGTAAAATTCTACCCATTTCGTTTATATCGTTCGTATCTAAAGAACTAAAATATTATTAGTATTACTATACTATTATGGCCAGTTGTGTTTTATGTGTTTCCGAGACGTGTCTGATGAGAAAAGTCTAAAATTGTGATTGGCGATTTTCGAGAAAAAAAAAAGTAAACCATTAAGTGGGTGATTGAGAATTACCTTATCGGGAAAATGCTGATTGTGTTAAGAATGCCATTAAGGCTGCAGTGGAACCGGAAAGCTAATGGAGAAAACAGGCTTAGAACGTAGTTGGAAGATTTTGATTTTATTGTTACGGACTTAAAGACCAAAGCCGAGCAAAAGAAGACTATTATAAATCATAATAATATAACAATCGTATAACTCGTAAAAGTATACAAATACACTTGTACTTGTATTTATATGTCATATAGTTATAGTGGCTTGCTTTACCTTTTAATATGAAGGGGAGGGGTTGAGGATCTGAATATAGTTAGTTATTATATATAATAAATTATTCAAGATATTTTCAAGTAAAAATTGGTACAATTCTTGGTACTTACTTCTTTAAACTAATACATCTGGTATTACAAATAATAATATGTCATGGTAAAGTAGAATAATAAGTAATGTTTTTGTATTGAATATTGTTTTCAAATATCTACAGAATAAAAATAAATACATGGGTATTCATAAAGCATAAATTAATTATTCAAAAAAATAGTGTCAAAGGGAGGATATTACACCTTAATCCCCCCCGTGATATTATCCTGAGGCCTGAATAAGTATAGCTATACTTAGTTATACATTAGTATAAAACTTGATGATATTAAATGCTTATACATTTGTCAAAGACGTGGCAAAATGTTCACATTTTTCACACGTCTAGAAAATGATAATATAAGCATTCTGTGGAAATTTCAGGCCTCTACAATTCTTTTTTAACCGAGTTGTAAAAACAAAAACACAAAATAGAAAATAATGTGAAATTGCTAATGAATGTTGTGAACTTTCTCGTTTTCACTAAGTTTTTTCTCGGATTTTCCGAACTGTTAAGAAAACTACAGGGAAAATCATAAAACGTTTTTTACAACTTTTATTCGGAGCAAGATTTGTGGCAGAGAACAGGCAGAGAACAAAAACATAGTAAAATAATCACACCAATAAAATCGTCACTTCGCTCAGAAAACCCGTACTCGAGGGAATTAATAACAATGTGTGCAGTCTCTTCGTGACGTGCGTTTTATATTATGTACCACGCGAAATCCAGGTATAATACGTATACTCGTATACTCCTCGTGGAACGTCCGAATATTATAGCTTATATAGGTACGTTCAGCAACGAACAAAAACGCAACCGACGACGTTTTTTCTGTTAAACGGGTGTTAAAGAAAATAAAATAATGATACGACCCTATACGTGTTATATAATAATAGTATTGTTATTATTACTATAATTTACAACAGTATGGGTATACCCGCGAGACTTCGTGCAAATCGTTGATAAATGATTGTCGCGAACGTTTTCCGTATAATGGGATATAATATATCTTTATGGAGTATTATTGTGTACCTATATTAAGTAAAGGTATTGAGAATTTAACTGGGAAAAGAATCATTTACAAAAAAAAAAAAAAAAAAAGGCGACAAGAAGAAAAATTAATACGAACGGAATTTGACGATGACGACAATGATGATATACGTTACATATGTAGGGCGAGCTTTTAATCTGGATTGTTAATGATAGCCTACGTCATCACTACCTATAGGTATATATGTATATACCTATACCCTAGGTATACCTATGTAGCTGACGACAACAAAAGCCTTTCATAACAGTCATTTATTGTTGTTCAAAGACGCGCGGCTCTTATTTTCGTCCATTAATTTCTCAACTGCAGTGCATCTATGTTGACGATATCATAACATGTCTCATTATTATATGTATTGGGCGATGCATGTATATATACACATATAAAGAACAAAAGGTCTTCTACCCTACAATAACAATAATATTAACCTATTAATCCTTAGATGACTATACACCGAACCTCTTTCAATCCCTGCTTCTCTCGTTCCCCATTATAATATTATTACTGGCTGTATTACTACCCGGCTCTGCCCGTGCATAGTGTTGAATGAAACAAAAATAAAATAAAAACATATCTCCCCGTGGAAACAATTGATTGTAATAATTAGAAAAAAAGATCAGACACTGTTGATGTGTGTTGCTGTTGTAAGTGGGTAGTAAGATACATACAGTTATTTAATTGACATCTGCACGGAACGGTAAATTATTGGAGATGAAAACGATTCTGAGCGAAGTTCGGTTATACATATATCATGATTTAAAATGCCGTAATTTTTACCAGTGAATAAAACTCGAAATTTGGTTTAATTTACCAGTGGTGGCTTGAAGAAGGTATATTTGAATGACGTAATTCACAAAAAACCGGGTGGGTGGGTCGTAAATGTCTGGGTGTTCAGAAATATAATTACAATTATTATGGGTATTCAATAATAAAACATCATTAAAAGAATATTTTAGACTGCGGACATTTGATGTGTATTTCAAGGAATTATTTTCATGGTTTCGTTTTAGTTATTTATTTTTCTTTAATTTTACGTGCCTATCTACAAAGATACATTTTAGTGTAAAAACGATGACGGTGAAAATCGAAAAAAAAACATTCGAAATTATAATATATAATATTATTGCGTAACTTTATAATAACAATAATATTCGATCGTTTAATGTCGCAATTGATTTTACACTTCAGGCCAGCCGCCCGCTCGTTCAGTGGGTATATAATAATATTATATTATATGCCGCGAAGACAAAATTGCCCGGTGATTAGCGATTGTCGCGAGAGTGTAAGAAATTACAAATTAGGTCACGTTACACTGTCGGGGTTTTATTTTTTTTATTTTCGTTATTGGTAATCGGCTCTTTTGTACGGACAATTTAAATTCTCTATGGTCTCCCGCGAGCGCTGCGGAGCGGACCGCGGTGGATAAGTGTTTATTTATTTCGTCGGCTATCGGAGACGGCAGAAAAGCGCGTTATTTACGGCCGTGTGACAAGATATCGCTTTAAAAAAAAAACACCAAAAAATAAAAATGTTCAAAAAATTCTTCTGCCGTAATATTATAGATTCTGAGCAGAGCGAAGAACGCGTATTGGTTTAACAATGATATTTATTTATACTGTAAACAAAAATTCTACCAAAATCTTGCTCCGATTTATCAAGTGTAAAGTATCTTTTCTGAAAGGGAATTTTATGTAGTTGATACTTTAGGGAGTTTAATCTATGATTTTACTAGCAGTTTTCATAATAATTGGGAAAAAACGTAGGCAAATCGAGAAAATTTACAAAATATATTGGTAGTAAAATATTACGATTTTTTTTTCTATGCATAACTTTTCTACCAGAAATTTTGCTCCTATTTACAACAAAAGACATTTTTCTAAAAGAAAATCTGACTGAGAAGGTATTTTAGAGAGTCCATTTTTCGATTTTCCCAGGAGTTTTCTCAACAAATGTAAACACCGAGATTTTTTTTTAAATTTTAATAAGCAATCATTATTTTTTTACGGTTATTTGTTTTATTCAATTTGAAAACTAGACAAAAATATTTTGCATTTTCAATTATGAAATAAATTACAACTAATCCAAATGCGAACCAGACTAAAAACTCGAATACTCATGCCGTTAGTTTAGAATAAGACAGGGTATATTATATATAGGGTAATTAACATTGTGTAGGTAACACTCATAATCTCTTAAAGTATTAATTTTTTTTGAAATTTATTTGTTAAAAAATTTAAAAATATAAGTACCTCTAAAATTTTACTTTGCCGTTATTTTTTGTCACCTTTATTTTTGGGGTTGAAACCACTACCCACTTCTGATTTTCAAACAGCAGCCTGTATTTAAAATTCCATAAATAGATTAAATTTTAGTTTAAATAAATGTCGGTTGTTGACAACAATTTTAATTTCCGTCAACTTGTTGACGAGAGATATTCCACTTATAAGTTCATCATTTTGTGGATATTTGGGGCTCCCGTTACCCGTCCCCAACCCATAAAATGACGAAACTTGTAAGTGTAATATCTGGTCACCCGATTAAGAGAAATTAAAAATTGCAACACCAAAATGTGTGTGTTTGTGAAATTTCTAATACCTGGGTTATTGCTGTTTGTGAATTAAAAGTGGCTTTACTCCCAAAAATAAGGACGACAAAAAGTGACGGTAATTTAACATTTTAGAGCTGATATTGTTAATACATCTCAAAAAAATTGCAAAAAAAGTTAATATTCTTCGAGATAGTGAGTGTCTTACTATATAGGGTGTAACTGGAATATTGATCGTCCTATAAATATGAACTTAAATGCGATGCATTTGCCATATAGTTAACAATTGTTTGTTTTGCAGGAATCAAAGGAAAATACCGAAAACGGACGGCGGTCCTCTGTTCAAAAAACGGAAATCAGAAAAAATCGGTTCGGCTTCGGAGTTCGATAGCGGGATGAAGGCAAAGAAAAGGAAAATGAATTAATCATGAACGAGTGTTTATTAAAAAATAATAATTATAATAATAAACAAATATTCCGGAATACTCCTCTTATTGTTTGGTTTTTAGACGCGTGGATTACGACACTACATTATACGTGCATAATTATGGTAAATCGCCAAATATCAGACCACCAATTATGTCGTCGTAATAACATTATGCACACTAATTTACACTGTGCACGCTGCCGTGCGTATTATTTATACGGATTTTTTTTTTTTTTTACAATTTTACAAAAAGGTAAACACACTCAGTTTCGCTAGGAACTGCTGCAGCAGCACGTTCCACGTAAGCCCGTTGATTTTATAATACTCGTAAACGATTTGTTTATTTTCTTTTTTTTAACTATAATATTTTTTAGGCGTTTTTAGAGTCGAACGCGTATTATTTTTACGATTGGCGAAACGTATTGCCGAAAAAATAACAAAAAACTATTGCGTTACGGATCGATATTATATTAAACATTTATTGTAAAATATCACCTCGCATGTTGACGATATGTACAAAACTTTACATAGAAATGCAGTATTCCATATTACTGCAACGCCGAACTCTGTGCAGTTTTCGGTAAACAGCTCCTGTATGTTTTGCTATTGTTTGATACTTGGTTGTAATATTGCCTAAACGTTCGTTTACTGTACAGTACTTCAGTATTTAAGATTTTACCAATGAATAACCGGTAACCGAAGGCAGTACACGTAGTAATAAATTATTTGCTGATTCCGGCAACCTGGTTGTCGAAAAGTTCATTAAGTTATTAAACAATAATATTATTGCACTAAACAATACCGTAAAATAATTTATTCACCAAATTTGTATCATGTTGTTCAAAACTGCAAAGTCAAAGCACGCCTATTTTATATTTGGAAATAAAATAATGTGCTTAAAAATGTACAGTATCCTGAAAATGTTAAGTTTAAGTGCAGTGTCGAAGAAAACCCCTTCGATAAATTAAACCAACATGTCTATCTCGAGCTGGGGGCAGTTCTAGACAACCCCCAAGGGGGGTGGGGTGGAAATATTTTGCATATTATATATATACATAATATACATACAGGGAGATTTTTTATCATGAACCAGTAATTATCTCGGAGGATTTTAAGTGAATTTGAAATCTGTTTTTTCTAATCATTATGAAATCGTTTAAACTTTACTTTAAAATCATTTTTAATTTTTACCTTCACTCTATATACCTTAAATAAGAATATTCTTATTAAAGATATAATTATTTAAGATATATGGAGTAGAGGTAAAAAATTAAAAATGATTTTATAATCAAGCTTAAACAATTCTATAATGATTAGAAAAAAACAAATCAAATTCACTTAAAATCCTTAGAGATAATTGCTGGTTCATGATGAAAAAATCACTCTGTATATTTTTGTATCACATTCTCCCCATTTTTTGGGAAGTGAGAATCAATTTGATATGGTACAATAATTATCATAAACTATACAGCGTAATTAAACACTTTATAGTTTATATACCTTTATAACATGAAAGTTATATCAATAAAACAAAAATTATCTTTTATAATTTACTTAAAAGTAAAATATGCTTATTTATGATAAAAAAATAGCCAGTCACTCATCTATTCCTCTTTTTTTCCTTATCGCTCTTGGAGAATTCCCGGCTCTTTTCAAACTTTTATCGATTTGTTGCGATTATGACGCCTCGCCGTATAGAAGCAGGTTTGCAAGGAGCAAGTAAATAATAAGCGAGCCAAGTTGCCGAGTCACTCGCTTCGGACTTCGTATTTGGATTTGAAGCGGCTCCAGTCGAGCTTTCGCTTGTACAATTACGAAAACTAAATTTCACAGACAATTTATACTTGCTTTTTGACTCTGCTCGTTTTTGCTGCATGCAATTTTTCTAGCCCTTCAAAGCGTGTTCTAGGGCAATCTTCGGTGATGTACCTTATGATTTGTACGCATTCACATTCGCAGTTTTCTGTTTCACTTTCACGAAATCTGTGTAGTAGATATTATTGACATCTGCCTTTTTCCGTTCTAATCCGATTTAATGTAATATACAAAAATTTTGGCAGATCAAAATCTGCAACTCTGTGGTGAGGGTTATTGCACTAATTCAGTATTTTTTACATCCAAAGTACTTCATTTATCTCTTCATGTATCCTCAAGTGAGCTCTCACAGGATATTCGCCTTCAGACTGGGTGTCTTAACTTCATCTTTGAAGTTAGGGTGGGTTAGGATATCAACCTATATGTATAGGTAGGTAGAGATTGTTTTTCACTCTTTCTAATGTTCAGTTAATATGCATCCTCCGTCATATATCAGGTGGTATAATATTTGATAGCACTAGTAGCCATTGGACTTGAGTTATTTTCAAAGACCCTAATATTAATGTGTTCAATTCTGTTAAACCTATACTCGCTATACTACCTAATAGTATTGTATACATTAAAAATAAATCAACAAATGTATTCTTATGTGAACACTATTATTATAATTGATGATTGATATTTGATTTACTTGACCCGTGCTTGAACTTGCTATACTGCAAGAGTAAAAAAACGTAACGATTCGAAAATTGGGATGAATAAATATTACACCGCGAACGATTTGAATCAAGAATATTGAAAAAACTCTGCCTCCAAACGACAAATAAAATTATGCGGTTGTAATCTCTTTGTTTTAGATTCTGAGTGCAACGAGAAATGTGTTGATTTTTTTATGATGTTTATTTTATGTCTGTAAACAACTTTTCAACTTGTAATCTTACTTCAATCAAAATATGATATGAGAGCTCCTATGTAGCATTTTGAATCTATATAGTTGGTCAGAATGTAGTTTTTTGACTTTTAGTTGGTGTAGTTCGTGTAGTTTTCTAAATAATTGAGAATAAAGGTAAACGTCCATAGGTTCGCATCGGATGGATTAATCGGATGAACGCATTAATTTTTGGTAGTGTGTCCTTCGAATCCGTAGCAATCAGATTGTCGATGTGACTGCCTATTAAAATCGTATGACGTTAGTTATTGGCACGCGTCGGAAAAGGTGCCTCTCCGTCTCCGAGAAATTGCGTTGGCATTTTAGACGGGTCGATGTGTACGATCCGTCCGCTACGGATGCACTTGTATAACCAAAACCAGTTTGGAAAATATCAAGGTCCTGCATAGTCAATTTTTCAAGGGACCTCGATTTACTAATTTAACGTTTTTCTTTTCCAATACCAACTGTAGATAAATCGTTACAATTCTTCTTTGTCTATTATTTTTAATTTAAATTTTCCTAAATAATTATGTGAAATTATGAGCTTATGAACCTATGGACGCTTACCTAAAAACGGATAAGTTTACTACAATACGGGTTCATTATTTTCGATTTTTGGTTGAAAATAACCAGCAATTTACTCGTAATATTTATATGATATATTCAATGGTGCCAAACCATGTTTTAAGAAAGTGGGTTGGTATAAATTGTATTGTCCATCACTCTCGTTTACAAAACAAACTCCCATATAACTCTCTTAATTAATATTCTATATGTACCAATTCAATAAAAAATATGGCTCAACTACCCATTATGGATCCACTATCACTCACCCATTAAAATAAGGGTGACGACCGCTATCCTTGACTGCTGTTTTCGGTTTCACTGCAGATTTTACTTTTTCTAGATATTCTGGGGGTTTTTTAGGGTATTATTGGCAACAGGCACGTAGCCAGGGAGGGTTCAAATATACAATTTTATCACCAACTACCAATAATTGTACCAATAATTTTAGATTCCAGGCTCCGTAGATCCCCCGGCATCGTGCTTAATATAAAATAAATAAAGTTTAGCGGGTAATGTACTTAGTTGGTTTTTGTTGAGTCTAAACTTTGATGAAAATCGTAAAATGCATGGCATTTCAAAACACTTTTCATTCATAATCGTATTCCTTAGTATCGATTTTTTAATTTTTTTTTTTTTTTTTTTTTTTTTTTTTTTGTAATACGAGAGCCTGCGCGATTGCGTATATATTGCCCACAAAACAATACGATACGTATACTGTTTACGTATACAGGTGCATTTTATGATTTGTTTTTTTTTTCGGATGTGATTTACACTATAATATAACCGTCATTAAACAAAAATCTTTGTTATCAATTGTTGAAGGGACGAATTATAATTGGTCGCCGACGACGGTTCGCTGTCACGGCCGGCTCTCGACGACGAATAAGACGGCGGCGGCGTAGTTGCATCGCGCGCACAAACATATATTCGTAGCCCGGGGCTCAAGGTTAAATCAATGACCTCACCCGCGAGTATGCAGCGCCTATATATTATAATATACCTATATGTCTTTTTCTCACCAAGGATATTAACAATAATATAACGATGATAATAATCGAAATTCCAGTTCTATATATTATATGTATGTATATATTGCTCTGAGGTAGTCGCGCCGCCGCCGCCAGATCGGTACTTTGTTAAGCGTTTTCTATTAATGACTGCAGAGCGCGCGATAATACACGCGTATTATAATAATATAATATTATATACGGGTATAGGTACACGTACCTATATATATATAATATTATTATTATTAAAACGCGATGAATTTTAATTGTAATGTGCCACCATAATATTATAATATACAATGAGAATGCCGTCGCCGCCGGTAGCGTTGTTTTGTCGAATTCAATCACATGCGATAATATTATAATACACACGCGCCCGCAGTAGACGCGTTCCGGAGGAGACGGTCTTTTTTTATTTATTTATTTATTTTTTTTTTTTTTTTTTTTTTTTTTACAAATAATCACGGTGATAATACATTATACGCACGAGTTTAGACCGAGCGGTGATCAAAAAATCAAAAATAAATTTCAAAAAAAAAAAAAAAAAGTACAAAAATAAACATCCGCGAGTAGAAGAGGTTTGTCACTGTTCGAATAGTTAAATTATTCCTCCTCCCCCCGTTTATTTTGTAGTGTAGAAATATTTGTAAAATAATAAATAACTAAATACTAAAGTAATAAAATTATACTACTTTCGAAGAAAAAAAAAGTTGTGAATTTCGAGCGTACTAATGTTAAGGGTTGGGATAGAAAATCGAAACCCCTAAAAGTTACTTCGTCTAATTTTAACATCAACATTTATTCAAACTAATTCTCCATTTAATTTAGGTTGTCATTTGAAAATCAAGAATAGTTAGTGGTTTTTCCTCCAAAAATAAGGATGACAAAAAAATATCATAAATATAAAATTGT